AAACAACACGTTTCTTCTCAGCTCCATGTTTCTTTTATTCCCAGAACGAGGCTGTCATATAACCAATACAGGAGAGGATCTAAGAGAGATAACTCTTACGAGATTACAACTACTATAGATCATTACAACTCCCCTTTTGAAAATAGGTATTTTATCTTTAAAAGTTCAATTGTCATTGGAGGGAGCATATGGTATATATGTAACTTGTATTTTGTGGTTAATTGACCATACTGAAACAAAATAGCTCGAAATTAAACTGCATGTTGATACATGTCTGAAACTTAATATTTCTTTGTTGTTTATAATATTGTCACAGTTTCTAAGTAATAGTGTATATCCAACCCTCTTGATTGAGAATTATATGTGGAACACAAGCAACAAATAAAATGTGATAATTTTGCAATTATGAGTGACCAAATTCACCAGAAGATAATGGACCAAAAATAGTTTTGATTTTGAACTCTTTACTGATGAATTTTATCAAGCATAACTACCAGGATCAGGATAGACTGTCCTGCCTGAGACCTAACATTAAAAGGGGATTATTCTGCCCCTGTGCACTTCACATCTCATAATCTTTGAATCGTGCTGGCAGTTTCACACTTCTGCCGTATTTTGTCTTCATACTCGGAGAGTTTCCGGTGGGCATTGCTAGTGCTGTCGCCTTATGCGTTGGCGTGTCACTAGGTTTCGTAGTTGATTCTTGCTCCATGAAATCAGGAATGTCCTGTGTTTCTCCTGAATGTTTCCTCTCGTGACTGAATGATGTCTCGACGATTTCGACGAAACTTCTCACCATCAGGTGTCACTACTGTGTAGGACCTCGGGTATTCAGAGTGATTATAAATGTTTCCTGGAGTCCATTGTCCTCTGTGTTTAAAACGAATCTTATCTCCGTCATTTAATTCCGACAGGCGTTTGGCTCCAATGTCGAAATATTTTTTCTGCTTTTGCTGCGATTTCTGTCTGGTTTTCTGAACGTGTTCTGAAGACACTACACGAGGTTGAAGTTTAAGTTGGGTAACTGGTAGCACAGATCTAAGCTCTCTGCTCATGAGTAGTTGTGCTGGTGATTCTGTATCCGTAGGCGAGTTCCTGTACTCGAGTAGAGCAAGATACGGATCTTGCCCGTTAGCGTTGGTTTTCTCAAGGATGCGTTTCATGGTTTGTACAGATTTCTCTGCTAAGCCGTTCGCTTGAGCAAAATAGGGACTTGATGTTGTGTGTTTAAACTTCCACTTTGTCGCAAATGTTTTGAATTCGGATGAGGAATATTGTGGACCATTGTCGCTCCTCACTTCAAACGGTATTCCATGTCGTGCAAAGATAGATTTCAGGTGTGTTATTACTGTTACACTTTTAGTGTTCTCCAACTTTGCTACCTCAAAGTATCGGGAATAGTAATCAGTGACTATCAGGAAGTCTGACTGGTTCCATGAGAATAAGTCGGTTCCCACAACTTGCCACGGTCCACTTGGTACAGGTGTTGGCTTCAAAGGTTCTTTCTGATTGTTGTTCCTCATATCCATACAGGTACTACACCTTGATATCATGTCAGCAATATCAGTGTTCATGCCATGCCAATAAACAATACTTCTGGCTCTGAGTTTGGTTTTTTCTATACCAAAGTGACCTACATGAAGATCTGACAGTATTTCATCTTGGAGACTTTCCGGAATTACTATCCTTTCTCCTTTGAGCACTATGCCTTCGTTGATAGTTAGTTCATTTCTAAGTTTCCAAAACTCTTGTAGGTTTTTTGTTAGAACATTTTTATTTTCTGGCCAGCCATTCTCTATCAATGCCTTAACTTGACTGAGTTGTTCATCCTCGTCTGTTTGAGTGCGAATTTGATCCATTTTATTGACAGAGACAGGTAGACTGTTCAAAACAGTGTGTACATGACAATTGAGTTCTTCATCCATGTTCCCATCCTTGTTGGGAAGATATGCACGAGAAAGTATGTCCGCTACTACTAATTCCTTGCCTGGCCTGTAGATTAGAGTGAAATCATAGCGTTGTAGACGTAGAAGCATTCTCTGTAACCTAGGTGCTCCGCGTTATCCTTTCCGAACACAAGTATGTCGTCTATGTCCACTTCGACACCTTCAATGTCATCGAAATGTTGTGCTATACGCTTCTGAAAAACTTCTTGCGCACTCTTTATGCCAAACGGCATGCGTAGGTAACAGTACCTGCCGAAAGGTGTATTAAAGGTTGTCAAGAGTTGGCTAGGCTCATCTAGAGGGATTTGCCAATAACCACTGTTGGCATCGAGCTTAGTAAAGATTTTAGCACCTGACATTCGCGTTGTGATATCTTCAATTGTTGGTAACTCAAAATGTTCATGCTTTATGGCCTTGTTCAAATTCCTCGGGTCGAGGCACACTCTTAACTTGCCTGACTTGGGCTTTTCCACTAGCACTATGGAGCTGACCCAGTCAGTGGGTTCATCAACCTTTCTCACGACACCATTTTTCTCCATTTCGTTGAGTGTGATTTTTAATTTGTCGCGTAGATTTGCAGGGATTTTACGTGGTGGGTTTACAACCGGTGTTACACTTTTGTCAACTTTGATGGTGTATGGCTCCTTAAGGCAACCTAATCCTTTAAATATTTCCAGAAACTTGCTAGTAGGGTCCTGTTTATCCACTGACGGCTCAGTAACCTTTTCAGTCATCATGACCACTTTTACTAGCCCAAGGTCTTGACATGATTTGAATCCAAGTAATGGGACTGTGTCTTCCCTTGCGACGTAGAATTCAACGTTTTCATTTAGGCATTGGAGCCTACACTTCCCCTTTATGGGTATTTTGTTGCCAGTGCAGGGCACAGGCTAAACACTCGTCCCCTCGTCCTGACCGAGTGGAAATTGAAATGGACGAGTGGAATTTACAGTAGCACCCGTCCCTGTGCCGAGTGAAAAATAATATAGGATATAATAAAACTATATCTACGTGTAGCACTATGAAGCAAAAGTTATCAATTAACGCAGCAACTGTGTTGGTTTCGTTTTCCGCTTTCATTATCGGCGGCGATTGATTCAGTGTTCAGATCCCTTGAGCGTTTGACTCGGAAGGCCTAAATACACTGTTCCGTGCTTTAGTATAACCCCGTTTGGTATTACAAGCGTACTAACGATCTTCTGCCTGACAACCTGCCGACATGGCCGACAAAAAAATACACCCCTTTTTTATGGTGCAGCATAGAGGTAATTTGGACATTTTGTGAATGAAAGTTGAACATATGCTGCCGTAATTAATGTGTAGTTTCATTATAAATAAAGTAGAATTTTCGTTGATAAGAAACGGAGATGATTTGAAGGTTCAAAATTTGACACTATGACGATGTTAACGTTAGGCCTAGCCTACCAGTATAGAAAATTAATGAATATGAGCTGCTTGTATTCCATAAAACAAGTTGTTCTGATTTTCAAACGTTCTCCCTAAATATTTAGGTATTATAGTTATGCTTATGAATTGACATTTACCAAGAACAGGCTGATATGTACGACCAATATTAAAACAAAAATAAAATAAAACACAGAGACTTTTCTGCTGTTACATTTAACAAATACATCATGTAAAACAGATAGACATTCAAACATGCGTATATTTTATTCTAAAGAGAAGAGAGAAGTCACACTATTATATCGTGATTTAAATATTGTTTGCTTACAGAATCTGAAAAAGCACAGAAAAGAAAATCATGTGAAATAAATGAGGGAAATGAAACTGAAACTAAAAGTAAAGACAACAAAAACCAAGTTACAGAATCGAGTGTTTGCCAGGGCAATAAAAAGAAAAACAGAAAATATAGAAAGGAGTGGGAAACCAAGTATAAATGGGTTTCATATGATGAAGAAAAGGATGCAATGTTTTGTAAATTCTGCAGGGAATATCCCCCACTTGCAGATATTAAATCTCCATTATTTGAGGGGTGTGGCACTGGAGGAAATTTCCGTGAAGATACTCTCTTCCATCATAACAAATCAAGCAAGCATTTGAAATGTCAGGGGAAGTGGGAACTTGAACATAATAAATCTTCAACAAGTGCTCCAATCCAAAGAGCGTTTACACAGGCTGCAAAAACAATGAACGAAACAACAAGTAAAAGAATGTCAGCCTTATTTAACACTGTTTATTATGTAGCAAAGGAGAATCAACCGTTCATAAAATTCAAATCACTTTGTGAATTACAACAAAAAAATGGTATTGACATTGGAAAAATGTATCAGAACTCAGATGGGTGTCGGGATATTCTGTCAGCAATTGTTGAAACAGAAAAAACAGACATATGTGAAAAAATACAAAATGCCCGGTTTATCTCTGTACTTTCGGATGGCTCAACGGACTCAGCTGTAACCGAGCAAGAGACTGTTTTTGTCCGATATGTTGGTTCAACTGGTCGTCCAGTGACCCAGTTTGCCAGTATTATTGCCCTGAAATCAGCCACTGCTGAGGGTGTTCTTGATGGTATTGACAAAGGACTTGAGAACATCGGCTTAACTAGGGACCTTGTTGATGCTAAGATAGTTGGCTGCAATTTTGATGGCGCATCGGTAATGCTTGGTGCCAAAAATGGTGTTGCAGCCAAGATCAGAAATAGACTTGTTGGCAGAGATATTGTAGTGCTACATTGTGTAGCACATAATTTAGAACTGGGTGTTCTGGATGCCATTAAACAAGTGCAATATCTTAAAACTTTCCAGGCCACAGTTCAGCAGGTTTTCAAGTTTTATTATTACTCTCCAAAACGGAGGAGAGAACTTTGTGAAATTGCCAAAATCCTTGAGGAGACTAGTATCGCTCAAACAGGGTTACAGAAAACTCGTTGGATCGCAAGCCGTCATAGAGCTTTGGCTGCTTTAGAAAAAAGTTACCCCACTGTGGTTTACCATTTAAACCATGCAGCAAGTGCAGGCAAGGGGGAGGACAAAGCCAGAGCCAAAGGCATTGTCCAGGAGCTGTGCACTGAGCGTTTTGTGCGCTTTCTCCACTTTATGCTTGATGTGACCAAGATACTGGCAGATCTCAGCCGCCAGTTTCAAAATGATGAATTGTTCATCACAGATGTCACAGTGAAACTCCAAACCTGCTTATTGCGGTTAGAGGAGCTCAAGCACAAACCTGGTGACTACTTAACAAAGCTGAAGTCAAATCTTACTCAGGATTTTGAACTTCAAACTGGAATAGATCTGACAAGAAAGGTGAAAATAAAGAAATCACCAATGGACTTTGACAAAACATTCAAGGCATTCCTAGACAGTGTCATTGAATATGTCAATCAAAGATTCCAACCTATCCAGTCACCTCCTGTCAGTCTGTTCTCAGTGTTTGATCATGTAACTTGGCCACACTTCCCCTCGCTGCTTCAGTTTGGAACTGAGCAAGTTGAAGAATTGCTGGAGTTTTTCAAACCATTACTTAGTGAGGAGGAAAGGAAGGCAGTTCCTGAGCAGTGGCTTGAATTGAAAGTGAGACTCAATAGACAGAGGGAAGTAAGCCCATTTGCTACATATACCTCCCTTCTTGCTGCAAGACCCGACAGTTTGAAAGCAATCCTTCTCCTGATAGAGATACTCTTTGCTCTATCTCCAAGCACTGCAAAGTGTGAACGCAGTTTTTCTGCCATGAAAAGGATCAAGACTGGTCTTAGAAGTAGCTTAAACCAGGACAGTTTGGTTAACCTCATGCAGGTTGCCAACATGGATACATCTGTCCTTGATTACAACCCACTCCCTGCAATTAACACCTGGTTGGGCAATGCTAAGTTCAGGCGTGCTGTTACTGAACAGCCTACGGTCCAACCTTGTGCAAGGCTTCAGTCACTGCCACCAGCTGTTGCTGGACAGTCCAATGCTTCTGATGTATTTCCAGATCTCCCCCAAGCTCCCCCAGGATTACTGGAAGCATATGAGTCTGACACTGACAATCATGATTCTGAAGTGTCAGACTTGGACACTGAATGATTCTGGAGTCTCCTTAGGGTTAAGTGTTAAAACAAAAACTAACATTGATAATTCAGAAAAAAATGTTTTCAAATAAAAAGAAACAATAAGTGTACACAAAATAGTTTGTTGATTGTATTTTAATGCATATGTGTAACATTACATACACAATACCATTATCGTCCAACCTGAAAAATGTAAAAAAAAAATATCAATTTAAATCTCTAAACAGAGGACTGAGAAATGCTAACTTTATTTAATTTTGATAATATAGGTCTTAATACATTCACTGTCACACTGACACCATGATTCATGATCAATAATAAGCAAAATACAATATTTCTTAATATATATATATATGAAGGTTACGTACGCATTACAGTATTCATCAGACAGTGTACAGTGAAATTTCTTAAGTGCCGAGTGATTTTTTTCTGCTACTCGGCACAGTGCCTAGAGTCTTTTTATTTTTGATCTGAGCCCTGCAGTGTAGCTCGATAGTCGCGTTGCCGTGTCCGATAATTTGATTTTTGGTTCTACATTTAGACAGTTAAACAACTTGTCCGATATAATGTTGGCCTGGGAGCCCGTGTCTAATTTGAACCTGACATTTGTTCCATTGATGTTGAGATTTGCGAAAGCTTCATTAGTTCCAACCTCTGTTTTGTGATTATGTACTGCACCAATGAACAAGTCTTCGAATCCTTCCATGTCCACTGCCTCATTTGCGTGTACCACTTTAGTTTTACACTGTCGAGCGAAATGATTCATTCCCTTACATTTATCACATATTTGACCAAATGCTGGACATTTCCGATATCCCGTGTTTAGTGCCACAACGTCCACACTGAAATAGTTTTTGTTTTACATGTTGTTTGCTGTGGTTGGAGTTGTCTCCCCTGACTGACTGTTTCTTGTTACCTCCCCTTGCACTATGTGTTGGTCTATTTGTATAACGTTCCTTGGGGGGTCTGTTTTGTTTATCACGATGATTTTTGTGTACCGCGTTGACTTCTTTTGTGTTTAGATTTTTTAACATTTGTTGTGACTCCTCACTGGCTCTGCAAGCAGTTACGGCCCTTTCAAGTGTGAGTTGATTGTCTCTCAAAAGTCGTTCTTTCACCTTTTCTGAAAATACACCACAGACAATACGATCGCGTAACATTTCATCTTCCAGTGTACCAAATTTACAGTTTTTTGCAATAATGCGTAGTTCGGTCACGTATTCATCAATAGTTTCTGTTTTACCTTGTGTACGTGTGTAGAATCTGTGTCGCCACACAGTTATGTTTTCCCTCGGGGCACAGTAAGACTTAAATTTGTTTATTAAAACTTCAATTTTGTCTTTTTCTTCCTCTGTGAATGTGAAAGTGTTGTAAATTTCCCTTCCGTCTTGTCCTATTATGTATAGGAATGCACTACATTTTTCCTTTTCAGATTTATCTGACATCGCTATATCTAAATATAGTCGCATGGATTGTTCCCATTTTCTCCATTTTTCTGGGAGATTTCCCTCAGACGCCGAAAAGTCTAATTCTGGGGGTGGGCGGATATGTTCCATTATGTTGGATTGGGCTGATAATGTCTATTTGCCTGTATTTCGGTATTTTACCGGTCTGGGTAGAGGGTTTTGGTTTCTGGCGGGTAGCACATGTTTTATACAGCGCACACTAGATGTCATTGATTCGACAGTTATTGTCGAGTTAAGCGATATGACATACAATATTCATTCCGCTGATATCTGGTTGGATATGTTGCCTTACCAAATACCCATATTTCCATCAGCATCCCGCTGTCTGACACCATGCTTTGCTTAGACGTTTCAGCGATAGACTAAACAACACGTTTCTTCTCAGCTCCATGTTTCTTTTATTCCCAGAACGAGGCTGTCATATAACCAATACAGGAGAGGATCTAAGAGAGATAACTCTTACGAGATTACAACTACTATAGATCATTACAAACACCGGTAGATATGAAATAAAACATGTGTACTATAAACTATATCATATTTCAAAATAAAAAAGAAATATCACTGATACGAACGCTAAGGATATTAATAGGAAATTATGCAAAATACACAGGGAAAATGTGTAAATATTCATAGTCTACTCCAATGCTCGAGTCCATATTTTACTACATCCCCGCTGCCGCCAGCGTGAACTAGTAACATGTAAACAGCTCCTTGACATCGTTCTACGAACAAATTACTGCATTAAATGTGTTGAAATATGTTATAAGAAGACTAATGACAAATGCTTCTATCAAAACTTACACTTTGTAGACACCCAGGGACAAATTTCTTCAAGAATTTGCACACATGTGTTTTCAAGCATGGCATGTGAGGAGTAACTAATTTACCGAACCGACACAGATCCGGAAAACGGTTTCCGGAACATCACAATATAATTTCAGCCTTCCAGTCTGTTTTGGCACATATATCCGACTGACATTTGTAAAATGGACTAAAACAGTGGGACAAAATACCCTCTAGCTATTTTAGAAGCTGGTAGCTGGACTAATATGAAGTAATCGAAAATATTTATCATTGTACAGTGATACCGTACCATTGATCAATATCAGTATTTTATGTACAAACAAGACATTTCGTCCACAGTAAAGTGGCACGTATTCAACGTCCACTGATGGGGTTTTGTTTACACGTACACATTTATTACAGGATAGAATCCTTTATTACCGAACTTCATGAGATAGCCGCAGAATGTATACCAAAAGAAAACGCACTGAAAAACCTAGGATTATTGAAGATTGTGATAAAACTATTCGAAATAGGAAAACTGCTTCGAGGCAATTCGAAAACAACCCCACAAACGATAGCTTAAACAACTACAAAATTATTCGGTCGAAAGCTCGTCGTGCTATACGCTTACACAAAATTTGTCTTGGAGATCATATGTGTCCCAGTTATACTCCGATACATCCACCAAAAATGTATGGGATATGATGAAACTAACCATTATTTGTCAACATTAGTACATGCATCATGTACCAAAAATTATTATCTTGAAAGCATGTTTTAGGTGTTGTAGTGGTGGTGGTGGATTGGGGTTTAACGTCGCTTTCAACAATTTTTCAGTCATATAACGACTGTGTCATGGGTGCATGACCCGTGTATGTATGTGGTGATTTTTTCTGGACTGCTTGTTCTGGCGCACACTTATGGCGTCTTTAAGAGTGACAGCTCACTGAAGTACCGTGACACAGCCATACACGAATACCCCACTCAGTCACATTATACTGACACTGAGCACACCAGTAGTTCGTTCCCCTAACCATTCAATGCCGAGCGCCTGGCATGGAAGCGAGAATTGCCAATTTGAAGTCTTAGGTATGACCCGGCCGAGGCTGGAACCCCTGACCTCCTGCTCTCGAAGCGGACTCCTTAGGTGTTGTAGGGGGCAGATATTTCAATTTGCTTTTCATTATGCTTTTACACCTCATTTTAAAAAGACTAATACATGTATCCCACCAGCTTTCATTTAATGATCAAATTGCAGATGTAAAGTTTAGTTTAGAATCTAATTCACAATACACTAACCATATGTAGTGTTGACTTTGCATGACTTTACCACAGCTTCTGCACCCTTCTTAGATTTCGGGTAGGATATTTGCCATTTTTCTTGTCCTTCTTTGGTGTAAGCTCGCTCCTTTTTTCCATTTTCGTTGTAGTGCAATGCAGTCAGATACAGCCTGTAACAGATGATGCAATAATTGACCTAAAAGTAAATAGGGGAAAATTGACCATTTTCATACATACAATTGCAAAGTGCAACTTTCTCCCCAGAAATATTTAAAGCTGTTTTTTTTTAAAATTACGATTAGATCGAGCAAAGCAAGGGAACCATTTAGGTGGATTTGGGGGCATAGTCCCCCGGGAAAATTTGTTATGATTGTTCCTTTGAAATGATGCAATATCCTGTTAGATGTAGAATTGTAAAAAATCACCAATGGAATCATGCAGCTTTCAAAAGAGCAATGAAAATAACGCATGGGTAGTAGTACAAGAATAAATCTACATTTCAACCTCTAAAAACTCTGCTATATAATATAAATTATCCCTCTGAGTTTCCACTGTATTATACACAAGGCTACCAGTAGCTAATGGGCTTATAATTGCATTATCAACATTACTGCAGTGACCCCATAGATTAAAAGTGCAATGTTAGGTGCCACAAATCCAAATTATTGATCTTATTCATTATTGCATACCTTGCCTGCATGGACGAGTAGAAAAAATGTGTGCTCTTGGAAGCAAAATGGTTGACGACACTGTGAAAGACCTCCAGGCTGTAAGTTTGGTGGAATGGGGAAAGTTTCGCAACATCTCTTAGCAGATATGGGCTCTCAACTACGGATATGACCATTTTGTGTTGTCTGGAACCTAAAAATAAAAAAGTTATAAAATCAACATTGACCAGATTAATAACAGTAGTATTTCTATGAAATCGGGACATGTAGTGTAACCAATATTCATTCTTAAATATTTGTGCCAAATTTTTCCAATCTGGAATTTTTTTATATGGAGATTTGATATATATATAGGCTATAGCTTCAACCAAAACATGTACATCATTTCAATTATTGTGTTTTGAAATTTAAATAAGTTCAAATCCTGTTCGGAGAATCCAATTTTTGATGGTATTATGGCCCATTGTACTTCAAATGGCATTTTATGGACTACCATGTACATACACATGTACATCGAAAGATAAGTCAGTTTTCTACCAACTCGTAGCAATAATATAATATTTAGTATTTTCCAGTATAGTATTTTCCAAATAAGACACAAGAAGTGTTTTTAACAACAGGTATCATTGAAAATGGTGGCCATTTTTAATTTAGAATGGATCTTGAATAAGTGGATTGAATACATTACTGGGAGTGACATTTTATTTTATTACTGCATTTGCAATTTGGTAGAAAAATGGCTAACCTCAAAAAGGATTTACGTATGTTTTTATGACAAATAATTGAAATTTATACCTTTTATAAGCCATTCCTTGTCATCACATGGGCTGTGTAGGCACCGTGGAAATTTATCTGAATGTCCCTCATGAATGTTGCAGATATGGTTTGACAGTGATGTCCATTTGGCAAGCTTTTCCTCCCCGTCATTTCCAGCTGAAATAGCAGACCAGTACATGTGGTTGCCAATGGATTTTGTCCATTGTCTTGTGGGTTCACCATCTTTTTTCTTGGCACATGTCTCTAAATTCTTCGTAACTCCTTCAATAACAAAATTAAAATATATGTTAAGTTTTCATTGAATGTTTGTAACTTACAACAACCTAACATTAACCATTAGTCATTTTCTAAATTAAAAAAATACTTTTTTTATGTTTGATTTCACCAATATCAATAGCAAGTTGAGTACATGACTGATGTACTTTACATTTAAACCATAAGGTTTGATTACAAAAATCTACAACATTAAATTGTTCAATATACGGGTAGTTTTGTTAAAGTAAACGTTTCTACAGTTTGCCGTAATGCTTGAAAGTCTTAAAGTGCAAACAGAACTGTGGGTTTATGTATGCTGTTATTACTAATGAACATAATCACATTGCTTTACCTTTGGAAACGTGCCATACATCAAAGTGATGCTTTACATCGGGATGCTCCTCCTTCATGAACTTTTTGACCATCACATGCCTATCAGTTACCAGGGTCTCCACTTGTATCTCCTCCTCTCGTAGGGTTTCGAGTGTCCTTTTCAGGCCTTCCAGTTCCATGTGTGTTGACCCTTTTACCTCATTGCTCTGAAAAACACAAAGGAATTAATATGAGACCAAATTGTTTATCAACTCTGAAATATAAATACATAGAATAGATACAGAAAATCCTGAATTTGTAAATTATTTAAATTCACGTTTGTAAAATTACATGTATAATTAATGTAAAATTTCACAGGAAAGAATGCAATTTTACTGCAGTTAATTTACTCAATCCAACAATACTGTATTATTACATTTATTTTGAGATGAAAGCTGAACTTCAGTATCAGCGTACTGCAGGTACATGTACTGCTACAATATATATATATAACTTAAATTTTGATTTTTGCATGTATATTTTAAAACTTTTTACATATCAGTGTTTTGTTTCTGCATTCACTCTATTATAATATCGCAGGTCTCACTGAATTACATAATTACCATACATGTACATGTATACATGCATATTTACATGTAGCTTACAAAAGGTTACAATTATTACCTGTACTAGCTGTACATCAAGCACCTCATTTGTGTTCAGATCCAGAATGGAGTAGGATCCATATTTAGCGGAATATCCGGGTGAATCACAGCGTGCATCTCCTCCAATGATGACATCTTTATTGCGCCGTTCCTGGAACATGTCTTTTGCGAATCCTCCCATACTTTCTTTATTGATGGCACGATGTAGGCAGTTTGCAACTAATGAAATGTTCTTCTGCAAAACATTTGTAAATTCATTTGTTCGAATAACCTGCTTGCTTTTGAAAAGCTGGAGCCAGTGTTGAATATTGCTGAAGCAACCAATAGGTTGCTCCAGGGCATGGAGTTATGAAAGGGTTGGCTTCTCCACTCGTACACATGTCCATTGGAACATACAGATGCTGTGCATATTAGAGTTCCCTTAGAATACCTAATAAAGTTTTCACACTTACTAGCACATGTCCTACAAGACGAAAGTAAATTATTCAAAGATGATTCTGACACCAGGAATTGCTTCTCGTTATGCACACAGGAAATGTCAAATTCGCACAGCTTGTAGCTCATCTCTTTGGTGTCATCTTCACAGTCATTGCCTATTGAGTCAATGCTGTCATTCATGTCATCATCCTCTGAGCACATGTAGTCTGGATCACTGTCAGCATCACTTCCTGAATAAACATCATTAAAATCTTCATCAGATTCCATGTCAATGTCAGAATCATCGCTAACGCATGTTGTAGACATCAAATTTAATGGGGGACAATTAATCAATTCACATTGAACTGCTACAGAGTTGGTCACTGGTCGAATCTGGATCCTCCGTGTACGCTGGGGTACCTGTACAGTTGCCTGGAATCCTTTGTTGCACTTGTTGACCTCTGTTTGACTGCTACCATCACAAAACTTGTTCTTGTTGCATTCAATAGTCACTGTGTCACTGCTGTCATCATCATCGGAACTTTCTGGCACATCATGATCATCTGCGTAACTTTGCAATGCATCATTCAGTATCTGCAATATACAAGGAATAGGAAGATTTACTTATTTTTACAGCAAGGCTACAAGTTTGTGTTGATTGTTCACAACCTAACCTATAGCTACTGTACTACACTCTAAGTTGATTAAACAAAAGATTAAAAGCATGTCAAGGAGATTACATGTATGAAAAAGGCTGAAAATGCATTTTTCAACCAGATTAAACCACACACTTGCTCTGATACATGTACAATGTTATCTTTTATTATTGCATGCATTGTATTGATCATGAGGAAGGATATGAGTCAGGAGACCGTAGTCAAAATACTCAAATCCATCCACAATACAAAGGTCCTCCATATATACCATCAATTTAATAACATCAATAAAATCAGTTACAAATTGATTCCTCTGATAAAGGTGTAATCGATATTAAATGACATAAAACCATTTTGGTAATTTACCTCTGATCGCCTTCGCTTTGCTACAGCCCCTCTTTCGGGCTTAGCCATGTTAGCTGCATCGGCAGTTGTGCACTCATCCAGAGGAACGTCAGGCCCAGCGTCAGGCTTTAGAGTTGGACGTTGGTGGAAATTGTGTCCTAATCCCAACACGGAGTTCTTCTGTACGTGATACTCAAACATATCGTAGCTAAAATGTCTACTACACAACACGTGGTGGCTTGCAGCAGCAAACACATCACGTTTGCAATAATGTTCCCAAGCTGATCGGCGGTAGCGGTCCTTCGGAAACCTATGAAAGGAAATGCCGTCTTTTCTCATCCGTCTATTTGTGCTGTTATTGCAACCGAATGCTGCACAATACGAACCCATTTCGATGTCGCGAATTTCCAGGATATGATTCTTCACTTGAAGTCACAATTGTTTATGTTTGGAGAACGGCCATTCCCGCGGAATGTCAGTGACTGACAGCAACAACTATGTAAACATGGCGTCTCGTTCATGTAGTCGCTCTCGCGCGATCCCAATCAGTGACGTCACGAGATTTTCTGCCTCGTTTTGGGCAATAAAATATGCATATTCAGATTAAGGTCTATGACCTAGAAAAAAAGCAAACTACCGTACTTGCGTACATGCTTGATACTGGTATGCTCTTAACAGCTTAATTTTCAACCACAGACGTCTGATTTATGACCATTTTATTTTCATTGCACAAATCCTTTAATGTAACTCTTCTAGATACTTACATTTGTAATAATACTTCCAACTTCAGAAAATATCTTGATACACATTTATTTGGTTTTTAACAGTTTAAAGGAAATACTGATTTTGACAGAAATTCTTTTGATATATGAATAGAAACTTTGCACAATATAAGAAGGTAATAATGCATTAGGCTTCCAAAAAAGGTATTAGCTAGTGAAAATGTGCTTCCTTTTGTGTGTGTTTCATGTACCATTGATACTAGTAAGTATGTACTACATACAATGTATGTAAACTGAATATCATGTTTCCATGTATGCAACTAAATATCATGATTTATAAATTTTAATGCAGATGTAGACTGATAACTTTATATTACTTGCAGAACACTATGAAAAAACACAAACTGTGTTAATATCTTTGAGCTACAGACACCATTTTCATTGAATGGACTACATGAAGATTTGTTTTTAAACTTTTCAAAAATAAAGATTTCAGGGGAAAATGTAGTTTTATTTACTGTTGCCATATGGACGGTGTACAATTGGAGAGAGACCCTTTTGCTCGCATGTTTCACATAGAGGCAAATCAGTTTTGTACATTGCTTTCAAGATTTTGTAAAACATTCATTTGTTCCCTGTGTTTCTCATCTGAACGTTTTTGCACCTCTTCATCCCGTTTATCCAATCTTTCTGTGTAACTTTCAAGAAATTGCAATATCTGCGATGCACCAGACGTTGCCCCTTTTCTTTTATTTGAGCCACTCTCAGACTTTTTTTTTCGCTTGCTAGTACCTTCTTCGTCATCACTGGGACAGGGTGATGGTGTGGTAGCCCGGCTGGTAGGAGGAGTGCAGCTCTGTGTATTTGTAGTACTGGTGCTGTGCTGGGTCCTGGCTCCTGACTGCTGCTGCTGAACACATATGATGGTCTGGTTGCATGGGATTCCCCCATATACTCATATTCTCTTCTTCCAGCTCCAGTTTTACTTGCATTGTCTTTGTATTTTCTGTAAGCGGCTAAGATGGTTTTCCATCTTCCCTCTACCTGTTGCGCTGAGAAGTCTTGACTTGAAAGTGTTGTTTATAATTGTTGTCATCTGTTCCCAAACCCTTTTTTTCTTTACAGTTGCACTGTTGAAAAGGTCAGTTCTGTCACTGTAGAGCTGAAGGAGTAGTTTGGATTCAGCTTTGCTCCAGACCTTGTCACCACTAGTGTCAGACTTGTCGCTACTGGGGATTGAACTGCAGTATGCATGGGAATCACTAGAAGAAGCACTTGCATTTGTAGAAAGCTCAACATTTTCCTGTGATGTTGCTGGACCTGTCAAATATATAAAATTTTAGATAAGATATAACAGTCATGCAGTTAAAATACAAACTATATAGTGTAATAATCGGAGCTACAAAAAAAGGAAAGACTTTTTTATTTGGCCAGGTGGATTATTTCTGATGAAGCACTTAAAACGTGTAAGAAACTTGTCTTTGGACACCATAATTTATACTCGCACATAGATTGGGCCTATTAATAGGTTTTCCCTTTCTACATATAGTCAAACCTGCCTTTAAGGCCACCTATATATAGCAAATAAGGAAACCTACCACGGTTCTCAGATAACAATTCATTGTAAGTGAGCCTGTATATAAAGACCTCCTGCCTATTAAGGTCATATTTATATAGTGCCATGAATGTAGCAATTAAACATAAACTCTTTAGTTTGTGGATGGATAATGGGTATTAACAATATGCAAGTTTAGGTATAATACCTTGCTTGGGGTATAAATTTGTTACTAAAAATAAGATTCACCTAAAATTAAATAAGTTCAATGTTTAAAATAATTTTCGTATTTATTCAATGATATTTTATGGTGATTTGGAAAGATATTTTTCAAAATCTCATGTCTTAATTCTCGTACCTTGGTCCAGAAAGACGGAAATTTATGTTTCATCACTTCAGTATTACACTGTTATTTTTTGACCATAGAAAAATTTTGTTCATCAAATGATACTTGAACTTATGTAAATAAATACGAAAATGTCACGTTTCTCTGAAAGAATGCATTTGAAACTGAATTTACTACTTTCATTAACAAATTTATGCGAAAAGAGAGGTGCTATACCTAATCTTGCGTATAACACCAAAGTTGGTGGGTTTCCCGGGCCTGATAATAGACTAGTCGCATGTAAATAAGTGTAAATATGTGATGATATAGCTTGAGCTCGCACATTCTACTTCTATCGGTAATCTGATATGAAGAGGGTTATGACAGACCGAAAATTAGGCCAACAACATGATAATTTGTTCCGTTGC